TCCCAAATCTCTTAGAAATCTCCAGGCTACAGGTCCCAAAACAGCCTTTACAAACTAAAGAGGAAAGCAATAAACCAGTTTCCTCTGCATTATGAGAACTGCCTGGAGCCCCTCTGCCTGGTTGAGAATCCTGGGTCACCACCATGACTTCCACCGTGGCAGAATACCGTACTGCCACTATATATATATATATATATATATATATATATATATATATATATATATATATATATATACACACACATATACATACACACACACACACACACACACACACACACATATATACACACACACACACACATATATATATATATATATATATATATATATACTACTGTGAAAAAGTTTTAGGCAAGTGTGAATTAATGCTGTTTAGTAGCCATGCTTTCGAAAATCTATATTTTAATTCTTTATTTTTCGCAATTTAAAAAATGTAGTGAGCGAACAGAAGAAAAATCTAAATCAAAATCGATAATTGGCACAACTTCCCTTTGGCTACAAACCAGCATCAATTTCTATGACTAGTACAAACGATAAGGAAAATCGGACGAAATATACCGCTTTCAAAGCAATCGTCCAAAAATCTGATTGTCAGTACACAGCTTTCAAGAGCTGATCACGACAGTTCATGCAAATTTATCTGAAGGTACAAGCACGAAAATTTTCTAATTTATTCAGTAACAGCATGATAGATTTTCATTTAATCAGTACAGTATTTGTCCATAAAAAAATTGAGTGACCAAAGCAGTGCATCCTTGGAAACGAAGAATACTTTACAATACATCATCGTGGGGAGTTGTATTATGTCTTATGGGAATTTTCGTAACTTTAATAACCTATTCATTTTCAATATGAAACTAGCATGCAAAAACAAAAAATATTATTGTGTGTACGAGGCTTTACACCTGCACATTTTTTACACTTGATTTTGTAGGTTTAAAAGTAGATGTATTATTAACCAATTATACCAAGCAGACGCTAATGAGCATCAATTTCATATGTAGGTTGAAACACAGTCATTAACCACTTCCCCTCCGGCCCATGTATATAAACGGCCGGACAGGAGCAGTGCAGGGGCGGGTTGCAGTTCATAAACGGCGCCCGCCATTTTAGCCTGGGAGCACGTGGCACCGCGATCCGGTGCCCGCTGTGTCCTCCGGTCGTTGTACAGGACCTCTGTGTGAGGTCCCGATCATGTGATCACCGATTGGCCAATCAGTGATCACATGAATAGTAATAAGCAAGATGTCATGTCTGACATCCTTGCTTACTACCAGTGAATGCTGTGCATGATCACAGAGATCACATGGTAAAAGGCTATTCACAACAGCTTTGTATCATGTGACAAGCTGTGACCAATCACAGCTCTCATAGTATTTCTCAATGGCTGCAAGAATGCAGTCAGAGAGAAAGAGAAATAATTGCTTTTACAGCCTTTATGGGTATAAAAGCAATCAGTGTAAAAAAAAAAAAATCTTCATCACCCCCCACAAGTAGTACAGAGTCACTATGGTGACACTGTACGGCTAGGGTGACAATATGTTTACAAAAAAAAATAAACATTTTTGGTTATAAACTAATTTGGGTTATTTTTCTATTAAAAATATAGCTGAATACATTATGGCCAAGATTTATGAAGATAGATTATTTATTGATTTATTTATTATGGACTTTTTCATTTATATAGCAAAAAAAATAAAAATCCCAGTGGTTAATAAATAGCACCAAAATAACATTTTATCGGTCTCAAAAAAATGCTAAAAAATTAATGTGGGTACAGTGTTGCATGACCACACAATTGTCAAAGTGTGACAGCTCTGAAAGCAGAAAATTGGCCTGGACAGGAAGGGGGTAAAAGTGTCTGGACTGGAAGTAGTTAACTGAAACTGCTGTGTAGAGGCTTAAAACTGGATAAGGAACAGCCAAACTCTGCTACTAAGGTGAGGCTGTGGAAGACAGTTTTCATGTCACAGGGAATACACTATGGCAAGACTGAGCACAGCAACAAGACACAAGGAAGTAATAACACCTCCAGAAAGGTCTCTCCCTGGCAAAGATATCAAAGCAAACTGGGGTTTCAATATATGCTGTTCAAATGCACAAATGTTGAGGACCGTAGACGCAGTGGTCAGCTAAGGAAACTTAATGCAGCAGACACATTATGCTTTCTTCCCTTCAACATCAAAAGCAGTGCCATCAGCACATCTATCTACATATAGTCAGGTCCAAAAATATTGGCACTCCTGCTTTTCTGTAAGACAATCCACCACTTTGCCCATAAAATTGTTGCAATTACAAATGTTTAAGCACCCTCATGTTTATTTCTTTGGTTTGTATTGTATGACACAAAATAGTGGAGAAACAAAAAGCCAAATCTGACACATTCCACACAAACCCCCCAAAAATGAACTGGACAAAATTATTGGCACCTTCTCAAAATTCTAAGAAATAACTGCATTTCAAGTTTGTGATGCTCCTGCAATTTGTAATTAAACTCACCTGTATCAATTAATAGGTGCTGACAATATAGAAATCACACCGTCAACCAGTTAAAATGGTGAAAAATTGACTCAACCTGTTGTGTGTCTCTGTGTGCTACATGGAGCATGGAGAAAAGAAAAAGCAACACATAACGGTCTGAGGATTTTATAGCAAAAATTGTGGAAAAGCATGTTTAATCTCAAGGTTACAAGTCCACCTCCATGGATCTTAATGTTCAATGTTAATTGTCAAGACATTTGTAGCCCATGGCACTTTTTTCCTGAGCGTACACGAAAGAGAAAAATTTATCAAAGATTGCAATGAAGGATTGTTTAAATGGTGGATAAAGAACCTCGATCAACTTCCAGACAAATTCAAACTGACCTGCAGGCGCAGGGTACAACTTTTAGCTATCAACATCTGAATGAAAAGAGATGCTATGGTACCCCACTGCTGACAGAGAAACATAAAAAAGCCAGATTGGAGTTTGCCAAAACGTACGTGGGAAGAAGCCAAAATCCTTTTGGGAGAATGTGCTGTGGATAGACAAAACAAAATTACAGCTTTTTGGTAAAGCCCATACTTTTACTTTTCACAAAAAGAAAAGAATACAGTCTCAACAGGCAAACATGGTGGAGGTTCACTGATGTTTTGGGGTTGCTTTGCTGCTTCAGGTATTGGAAGTCTTGACCGTGTCTGTGGCATTCTGAAATCTGAAGACTACCAAAGAATTCTGGGGTGCAATGTAGGGCCCAGTGTCAGAAAGCAGCTCTCGTCAGAGGTCATTAATCTGACAGCAAGACAATGACCCAAAGCACACATCAAAAAGCACCCAGAAATGGTTTCAGACAAAGCACTGGAGAGTATTGAACTGGCCAGCAATGAGTCCAGATTTCAATCCCATAGAGCACTAGAGGAGAGATCTCAAAACAGCAGTTGGAAAAATGAACCTTTCCAATCTGTGAGACCTAGAGAAGTTGGCGAAAGAAGTGTGGTCCAAAATTCCAGTAGAGAGGTGTAAAACTCATTAATGGTGACAGGAAACGATGGATTTCAGTTATTTTTTCCATGGGGTGTACTACCGAATATTAAATAGAGGGTGTCAATAATTTTGTCCAGTCCATTTGTGAGGTTTTCCATGGAATTTGTCAGATTTGGCTTTTTGTTTCTCCACTTTTTGTGTGTCATACCAACAAAAGAAATAAACATGAGAATGCCTAAACATTTGTAATTTCAGCAATTTTCTGGGCGAAGTGGTGCATTATCTGACAGAAATGCAGGTGTGCCAATATTTTTGGACATGACTGTAGTAAATCTGGATGAAAAAACAAGTCAATCCAGTTCAACCCGCAGAAGAAAAAAAAAATACAACACACACACTAGAAAACCTCCATATACACAAACCTATACCAAAAGTTAATTCAGAGGAAGGCAAAAAATCCCAATAAAGCATGAACCAATTTGCTCCACCGGAAGAGAAAAAAGTTCTTCCTGATCCCCCTAAAGGCAATCAAACATTCCTTGGATCAACATAACCTATAAATATTAGTATCCGGTTATATTTTTTGCATTTGCAAAAGACTCCAGGCCTTTTCTTAAAACAATCTACTGAGCTGCCTAAAACTTCAGATGAAAAGGAACAGCTACTGTGAACTAGGAGGCTACTATTAGACATCTGTCAGGAGCATGTACGGCTTGTGTTCCATGGCAGCTGGGTCTCATTACAGCATCCTAGTTTTGGCTGAGCTGTATTCTCCATCTGTCTGTCCTCCTTTAGCGTAACTGATGTAGACACAGCCTCTAGGTGGAGACCAAAGCAGTTTTAAGCTTGCCAAACCCTTAGTGTCATTCTTGTTATAGTGTTTGCAACATGTGCTTCAAGATCCCTGTTTGCCTGTCTTGTTTCGGTGCCTTGACCTCTGCATGATGTCTGCTAGATATTCTAGTACTCTCTGAACTCTGCCTGCCTTCTGACAACTGATTTGACCCAGACTACTCTCTGAACTTTGCCTGCTTTGAACTCTGATTGTCATGGGAAGTCTCTGCCTGTCTGCCAACTGCAATTACCCGAATGCTGTGCTTAGCTCGCACCTGACGGCATGGTGGCCAGGCATTACAGCATTGTGTAGAAGACCAGGGGGAATCAGAGTACTGGTTGGCCTGCTTGCCTTATGGGAAAAGGGGCTGCTTTAGGTGAAGAACCCCATGTTAGCTGCAGTGCCTGATATCCAGCGCTAGGGGTAGGCGTGACATTATCACAAGCAATTTTAAAAAGAAGATTTCTATGAAGATTGACTCTTCAGAGGATCATTTATTTGTTTAAGAGCTTTGCAAACTGACACATTAAGTCTCTGCACATGGCACAGTATGGGAAACACCTCCAGCAGTAACACAAGAATCATGGTCAAAAATGAACCCGCCTGACAATTTTTCTGCTGACCCCCATTTGTTTTCCAATTTCCAAAAACAGTTGTATACTGTACTTTAAGCTTAGGCCATGCTCTTCTGGTTCTGAGGCTCAGCAGATTAAACCTCCTTAGCGGTATTCCCGAGTGTAGCTCGGGGTAACATTTCAGTACCAAAAGCGGTAACCCCGAGCTACACTCGGGAATACCATGCGGCACCTCCGGCATGTGTTCTTCACTTACCTTACCCTGCGCTTTTGATGTGTCCCCTGCAGCGTCCCCGGCCATCTCCTCCGGCCGATGCCGGCATCCGGCTTCTGTGTCCTGTCCCTGTGAGTCGGGACGTACGGGCGCCGCCGCCGCAGGCGGCGGGAAATTTAAAAATTTTAAAAAATGTCTTTTTTTTTTTTTTTTACATTTTACATAGTAAAACATTGCTGTCTCAACCAATTTACATACATTTTGTCCTGAGTGCTTTGTCCGGCGCCCTGCCTGCATTTTGAGCAGAAACTGAGAAAAGTCCATGGCGTCCAAAAAGTGTCCCTTTACGTCAAAAGCGGGTTTAGATCAGCTAGAGAACAGCGATAGTAAATCAGAACCACTTGCAGAATTGAGTGATAATGATTCGTGTGGAAATTCCTCATCAGACACTGAAAACGATTCTGCGACTGAGCTCAGCAATGTGCGAACTTGGCGCTATATTTCAAATTTCAGTGTTTTTGGTTCGATTATATTATTGAAATAAATTTTTTATTATTTTTATATTATTTTTATGATTATTTATTAAATTATAATTTATGATTTTGTGTTTCAAATTTTATCATACCCGGGATGTTTACTAGACTCTTGTTCGGACAGATTTCAGTGAGTTTTTCCTAAAAATTACAGGCCTACAATTAAAAAAATACATATTTCCATGCAAAAAAATGGTACCGCTTTCAGCACCAAAAATCTGAAATAATCATACCGCCAGGGAGGTTAAACTGATTTTAAGTGGTTGAAGGGGGCCCCCCCATCTTTGGGCTTTTGGTCTCCCCGCAAAAGATCCAGCCCGAGGGCCAGTTGAGGAATTTTTCAAGGCCCCAGCTTTACTCTATATTCATCCTGACTGTGCCCATTGAGCAGAAACGAACCTTAGGCCAATACGTCAGGGTTAATGCACTATTAAACAATATTGCTTTGATTTCTGCTGCTGGGCAGCTGACTCCTGGTGGAATAACCCAGTTCGAATAAGCCAGTTTAGGTTAGGCCTATCCTACTCCATCAAGGAATCCCTTGAACCAAAATCATTACATGAAGCCATGCAAGTATCCATCCATCCAGACAAGCGTTTACAGATGTAGAGAGGTTTATTTCTTTGTCTAGTAGCAAATTGGCGCTACTCTTTTATCCTCTAAGGTAGGGGTGTCAAACTGGCGGCTTTCCAGCTGTTGTGAAACTACAAGCCCCATGATGCCTCTGCCTTTGGGAGTCATGCTTGTAACTGTCAATCTTGCAATGCCTCATGGGACTTGCCATTTTGTTGCCAGTTGCGCCAATAAGCTGGGAAATTTTAAGTCTAGTGTGGGCGGGGTCTACCTCTATAGACTATATGGTGCTAGACCCACTCCTGCACAACTTCTGCCACTTTCTCCCATCACTGGTGCAGCTATCAATTTCATTGATAGGGACCTTACACACCGACTACAGCTTTTTTTTTTTTTTTTTTTATGTGCTTAGCCCCTTTTTAGTTTTAGCTGCTAACTCTCTCTCTGTCTAAGACACACGATCAGAAAATTGGATGAAAAATACCGATTTTTAAGTGATTATTCGTACGATAATCTGATCATTCGTACACAGCTTTCGACAGCCGATCCTGACAGTTGATACAAAATTATCCAAAGGGACAAACACAAAAAAATGTTCTCGTACGATACCAGAACAAACAATTTCCGATTAATCAATATAGTACTCGTAAAGAAAAAAAAAAATTGGAACACCAAGACCATCCATGCTCAGAAACTAAAGAATACATTTCAATACAATAAATGAAATCACTTCCGAAGTTGTATTCTGTCGTATGAGAATTTTGGTAACTTTTAACCTCTTCATTTTCGATATGAGACTAGCATTTAAAAAAAAGAAAAAAAAAAAAAAAAAAAAAAAAGGATGATCGTCTGATATTCTCATTGTGTGTACAAGGCTCTATCCATGGGCCTGGTCACCTTTTGTACTATACCCATTACTCGGACCACTGGGGCAATACATAGGGAGACAATCAGTTAATTTTTAATAACTTCTCCTGCCTATCCCGCTGTCTTAGGTTATCCCTGGCTTAAACTCCATAACCCATACATAGATTGAGCTACAGGGGAGATTGTGTCCTGGTCCTAGACCTGTCTCCAGAACTGCATTAAAATCACTCAATTACTGGCCCACCTCAAAGTCCCAGCTCTACCTACTTGCTACATAGTTAGTATGGTTGAAAAAAAGACAAGCCCATACACTCAACCACGCTGACTTTTCTGACATGTTCTCCCGAAAAGCCCAATTTGGTCCTTCCTCCTCATTAGTCTTATGATTAACAGTAGGCCTCCTGCCTAACACTACTACTCAGAAAGGCCAAACTTACCCTCTGTCACTACCTGAGACCTAGGACATGAAAACCTACATTCAGGAAAGTTTGGAGAAAAAGTATGTGAACCCCTTTGGATTACGTGGAGTTTTGCATGAATTGGGCATAAAATGTGCTCTGAACGTCATCTAAGTCACAACAATAGAAGAACACAGTCTGCTGAACATAATACTACAGAAACATTAGATTTTGCCATGGTTTAATTGCACATAACATATAAACATTCACAGTGCAGGGAGGAAAAAGTATGTGAGGCCCTAGCTTAATGACTTCTCGCAGAGCTAATTGGAGCCAGGAGTGAGCCAACCTTGACCCCAATCAGTGTGATGATATTGGATGTGTTACTGACAGCTGTCCTGCCCTTAAAAAACACACACCTGTTTTGGGTTTACTGGTTTCAAGAAGCACTGTCTGATGTGAACCATGCCTCGCAGAAAAGAGCTCTCAGAAGACCTACGATCAAGAATTGTTGACTTGCATGAAGCTGGAAAGGGTTACAAAAGTATCTCCAAAAGCCTTGATGTTCATGTGTCCACGGTAAGACAGACTGTCTACAAATGGAGAAAGTTTAGCACTGTTGCTACTCTCCCTAGGCGTGGTCGTCCTGTAAAAATGACTGCAAGAGCACAGCGCAGAATGCTGCATGAGGTAAAGAAGAATCCCAGAGTGTCAGCTAAAGACCTACAGAAATCTCTGGCACATGCTAACATTTTTGTTGACACATCTACAATAAGGAAAACATTAAACAAGAATGGAGTACGTGGGAGGACACCACGGAGGAAGCCATTGCTGTCCAAAAAGAATATTGCAGCACGTTTGAAGTTTGCAAAAGAGCACCTGGATGTTCCACAGCACTACTGGCAAAATATACTGTGGACAGATGAAACCAAGATTGAGTTGTTTGGGAAGATCACACAACAGTATGTGTGGAGAAAAAAAAGGCACAGCACACCAACATCAAAAACTCATCCCCACTGTAAAACATGGCGGAGGGAACATCATGGTTTGGGGCTGCTTTGCTGCCTTAGGGCCTGGACGGATTGTTGTCATTGATGGGAAAATGAATTCCAGAGTTTATCAAGACATTTTGCAGGAAAACGTACGACCATCTGTCCGCCAACTGAAGCTCCGCAGAGGATGGGTGATGCAACAGGACAATGACCCAAAGCATACAAGTAATTCAACAAAACAATGGCTGCAACAGCACAGAATACCCTTCTGGAGTGGCCCAGTCAGAGTCCTGACCTCAACCCGATTGAAATGCTGTGGCAAGACCTTAAGAGAGCAATTCACACCAGACATCCCAAGAATATTGCTACACTGAAACAGTTTTGTGAAGAGGAGTGGTCCAAAATTACTCCAGATCGTTGTGCAGGTCTGATCTGCAACTACAGGAAACGTTTGGTTGAGGTTATTGCTGCCAAAGGAGGGTCAACCAGTTATTAAGTCCAAAGGTTCACATACTTTTTCCTCCCTGCACTGTGAATGTTTACATGTTATGTGCAATTAAACCATGGCAACATCTAATGTTTGTGTAGTATTATGTTCAGCAGACTGTGTTCTTCTATTGTTGTGACTTAGATGACGTTCAGAGCACGTTTTATGCCCAATTCATGCAAAACTCCACGTAATCCCAAAGGGTTCACATACTTTTTCTTGCAACTGTATTTGTTGAAAGAAAAGATCCTTACGGCCCTGTACTGACTACCGTGGCTTGAACAAGATCACTATACCAAACAAGTATCACTGTACTGACTACAGTAGCTTGAACAAGATCACTATACCTAACAAGCATCCTCTACCACTCATTGCTGAACTCTTTAGTCACATCCAGGGAAATCAATTTTACACTATATTGGCCTCATACCCAATCCAGAAATTGGGGGGGAGGGGCCTGAATATGGTGTCGTTAAGGTGCATGACCTAGGAGCTCCCGAGGACCGCCTAGAATAATGAGAAGGAAAGTTTAAGATAGGCGAGGAACATCTACCCTACCTTCCTTGAGTGAGCCCCAGCCTGGTGTGGTGGAGCGTCGGCGGTGAGAAGGCGCCGGCCATCAGACAGAGGAGAGAGCAGTGGAGAGGCGGATCCTGTCTGGGAATAGAGCGGTGAAGGTTGGAAGAGATCACGTGGTCACCGCGGAGGAGCACTGGGATACGCTAGCCGGACAGCAGAGGAATGAGCAGGAAGGATCGGACCCAAAAAGGGACTTGCAGATCCTTTGGAGGGTGACACCCCCCAAGTTATATCACCTTTGACTACCCCATAAAAGAAGAGAGAACCTGTGCAGTTCTGGACACCCTGGATAACAGCAGTTGGTGAAGCAGTAGAGCAGAGAAATGCTGAGAGGAGATGGTGTAAGGTCCCGTGGGGAACAGTGACTCCAACAGAATTTACTATTAAGGGGGGTTGAGGTGGTTGGTGACAAATATCACTAAAAAGGAAAAAAGTCATAAAAAGGGGTCACACCAGGGGGTCCAGAAGAGATAAAAAGAGGAAAAGAAGATCAGCTGAAGGAGTCCTGAAGGAGGAAATAGGAGGGGGACATTTTATTTTGCAAATCAGTGTTAATACTGCTCAAATGAAAAGAAAGGAAAACTGGAGTCAAAACATAATTCTTAATCCTATTGAAAGTGCCTAAATAACATTTTGTTTGGACTGATAAAATAATACACCAAGGATATGAAGAACAAACCCAAAAAAGGAAGAGGGACCAAAACACCCCAGATGAATTTAAGCACAATTAAAAAATATATGCCCCCACATGAAAAAAGTTCTGA